ATACTAAGGTAAGGAAAAAAATCTCCCTTTGACTACAATTGATAACACCTAAGGTTTATGAAACTTACATTTATTTATGTTACTATGAGTGTGATGCTATGTTTGGTTATGGATTGTTTAAATGGGTGTGTTGATTGGTGTATTGTGTGCATATGGAGGAGATTATGCCAATTAAGAATTTGTAGTTAGACGATTTTGGCACTTTTGGTTCTGTAAAAAGGGAGGTTTTTATGGCCTTTTATACTAAGAATGATATGACAAATGATATGAATGGGCAAAGAAGGTGACATGGTTAAAATGAATAGAATTGGATTTGGCTTTTTGAGACTTATACTATACATGCTTCACTGAATCAGTCATAACTGAAGCTATAGAAGTCCGATTGAGTTGATTCTTGAAGTATTAAAAAGTTGAGAAACTGACCTAAAACTTTTATGTTTTAGCAAAAATAAATTCGAATTAGAGATAAGGAAAAAATTGCTTGAAAAGTGACGAACTATATGGCATTCACCTTCTTAAGGAAATTCATTTGTTTTTAATCTGATAAACCCCTGAATAATCTTACTACTGAAATTCCCTGTATTGTATGAGAAGTTGAATGAATTAAGTAAGAATTAGTAGGAGAATATAGTATGATTGAGCATGGGAGGTTAGTCCATATGTTTGCATTCATAATGGTAATGCATATAGCTTATTTAGTTGTCTTATGAAAATTTATGAAATGTTAAAGAATGAATTCCATGAGTCTCTGAGGTATAAACCAAGACAGAGGAATGGAATTCTTATGGAAACCATGAGTCCTTTGAGGTGACGACAAAGAATAAGGTAATGGTTCAAATGAATCCGATCGGATAACAAAGACTAATGAAACCATCAAGTATAAAGACAAAAGAAATAAGCATGCCATGTACATGAAATTTCATAAGTCATATGTGTTCACATTATAGTATGTATGGTTATGTTATGACTTATGTTTATGAGAAAAGTCCAAAGTGTATGATATGTTTATAAAATGTTATGTCAAAGAATGAAGGTCATGTTTGTAGGTAGGTAACGTCCTAAGTAATATACTTGTATAATAAACCTTAATAGTTTATAAATGGCCATATTCCTTACTGAGCGATTAGTGCTCACCCCACGAAATATTTTAAAATGTTTTGCAGGTAAGGATTAAGGCATGAAGCTGGGAGAGGATCCAAGGGACGCTATGAGCATGAAGGGATGTTTTAATGATGACTATCGAATGGTTTTGCTAATATTTAGTGTAGTAATTATGTTCATATTTTAATGTAGTAAATATGTCCTATTCTATGATGGTGTAAATATGTTGTATTAAAAAAGAAATCAAATTGCTAGTAAATTTTGTAAAAGTGTGCATGTTCTAATAAGTATTACTATGGATTTCATAATTTACTCCAAGAAAGGAAACTATATTTATACAATGAACTTATTTTAGTTAGAAATTAAATTATAATATATAAATATACATATATATGTTTTAAACTACAAGTATTCTTTAAATATGATTTTAAAATAAACTTCTTTTCTAGCGTGTGTTTCTAGGTTTCAATGGCCAAGGGATACTTAGGAAATACTCGGCTAGGGAGGGGTTTTACATGGAACAAATGGGCCGGGTTAGGCGGGTCAACCCTAACCAGGCCCGCATTAAAGAGGTTCAACCCGGACCGCCAAAATGGTGGCGGGTTGAACCCGACTCGCATGCAACTAGCGACCCGGGTTGCAATTTGTCCTTTCTAAGAAAGAACCGCCAACCCGCCGGGTTGGCTGAAAAAAATTTAAAAAAAACTACATATTTTTTTAATCCCTTTTACCCTTGAAGTAGCCGTTTTATAGCAGTTGGAGGGGTCTTTTTCGTCATTTATTTTCTCAATTTTTTCTAATTGGCCCTAAACTCTCATATTTTCTCATAACTCAAATCTCTCATTCTCTAATTCTAATCTTATTGAAATCTCTCAATTATTCTCTTAATCTCTTGTTATCAATTTGCTCTTATTTTAATTTTTATAGTTTTTACAATTTTCAATTCATATTTCCAATTTTCATATTCCAATTCTCCTTCTTTATTTTTTATTTATTCTACATCAATTTTTTTTTCAACTACAATGGATAGATATTTCTCTTCTATCATTTAATGAGGAAGGAAACTACCTAGTCCTAGTCCCGCTAAATTACTAACATGAATGTAGGAGGAGTTCAAATAGTCCTGTTTTCCCGGTCTAGAATCCGATACACCTACATATGCCCGATTCCTCCATGCTGCTACACTACAGCTCCCGGTGGTTCTAAAAGTCGTCCTCATAATCGTTGTCCTCGTCCAACTTCTACTCAAACTGAAGCGGGTTCATCAACTGTTGTCGAAAGCGACGACAAACACACATCAGACATTTGGACGCATTTCGATAAGTTTTACGAGGTAGAAAATGGAGTTAAAGTGAAGAAAGCAAGATGCAAGTATTGTGGAAATGTTTATAAACTGATTTAGGTAATGATACTAGTACTTTAAAAAGGCATGCTAATAAACATATTGCTCAACATGGAAATAGAGAAGTCAATCAAACTCAAACAACTAATATGGGTACTACTTGGCGTTATAATTCTGATATATATAAGGAACAATTAGCTTTATATATTGTTGTAACTGATCAACCTATAATATGACTAAAGATAAATATTTTGAAGATTTATTAAAAATTCATTTTTTCTAGGATTTAAAAGTTATTCTAAAACTGCAACTAGAAATGATTAATAAAATTGTTTAAGAAAATGAAATTAGAATTAAAATAAAAAGATACTTGTCATGTTAGTGTGGCTCAACTACCGATTTTTGGAGGGGTAGAGCTAAACAAGATTATATTTGTGCGACTAGTCATTTTTGTAACGAATGTAAATTAAATAAATCTTTATTAGGATTTAGATAATGGATGTTGTCATAGTGGTCAACAAATTATATAAAATTGTTGAAGTTTTAGAAGATCATGATATATTACTAAAGTGATAAGTTTAACTTTAGATAATGCAAGTTCTAATAGTAAAGTTATAGATTTTTTTCAAATTAATTATCCTTTAATACAATTTGAAGTTTTTTCACCAACGCTGTGCATGTTATGTATTAACTTAATTGTGAAAAGTGGTATGAAAACAATAAAGAAAATATGAAAGAATAGATATTTTAGCTTGGATTATTGGTAGTAATAAAAGAAATGTGAATTCAAGATGCTTGTATAAAATCAAATATGTCTCCTAAAACTTTGCATTAGACATGCATGTTAGATAGAATAGTACTTATTTAACGTTTGATCCACGATTACCTTATGCTAATTTAATTAGTTATTTGTAGCAAATAATAGAGGTCCTCATTATTTGGTAGAAATTGATTGGCAAATAGCTAAAGTATTCATTCTTTTTTAAAATTTTTACCAATCCTTTACAACTTTCTAGTGTGTATTATCCTACTAGTCCATTGGTAATACATACAATTATAAAAATTTCTGAGTATTTACAAAATACAAAAATAATGAAAATTTAAAAGAACCAATAAAGGAATGGAATTTGTTTTTTTAAATATTTTAAAACCATTCCTTTTCTTTATGTTTAGGTGTCATATTTGATCCTAGAATTAAACAAGAAGGTTTAGAAAATGGTTTAGAGACATTAACTGAAATTACAAAACTAGCATTTGTCAATCAAATAGGAGAGGTAAAAAATGTCTTGCAGAGGTTATTTCCAATATGAAAACAGGTATGAGATCCCGCAAAGACATGAAATACACAGGGAAGTTGCATCAGAAGAAACAATAAAGACTTCTACACCTGGCGTGTGTTTAATAGACCGAAGAGGAACCAAACTCGAAGCACAGACACAACCTCCTTTTAGAAGCACCAACGGCAACAACAATCTACTGTCGCCATGCAGGTCACAGAGTAACGAGCTTCAACAATATTTGGGAACTTCCGAAATGTTACCAACATATCCATAACAAAGAGCCAACTTTGATGTCTTGAATATTAGAAAACCAGAAAATGTATTTTTCGGTATTATCAAGACTTGCCTTGGATGTTTTGCTGTTCTAGTCTCAAACCGTCTCATCACAACAAAATTTAGTGCAAGTGGAAGAATTTTAAATGAAAGGAGGACTAAACCTTCACAAAAAATGATTGAAGTCCTCACATGTCTTCGAGATTGGGAACGGTCCGCTACAAGATCAATAGAGGTTGTTGACGATACTTTAATAGAATCATTTCAATTTTGTAATATAGATGATACGGATGACGGAGGTCCTAGTCAACCCCAAAATTAGTTGTTTTGTAAATTAATTGTAATTATTGCACTCTTTTTTCCTTACCAAGTTTTCCCATTGGGTTTTTCTTGGTGAGGTTTTTAACGAGGTATATATATTGTAATTTCTTATTTTATTTTTTGATAATGAATAAATTTTTTTCTTATATTACAATTAATGTATTAAAATGAATTAATATTTGAAATGTAACAAAAAAAAAAATTAATTTAATTGAATTATTGATATTTAAAAAGAAGTTAACTAAAAACATTACATTTATTGATTTAAAATTGTTATATTTATTTGAAGAGTTAATAAACAAATAAAATAAAATAAAATAAAAAGAGGGTTAACCGACCCGACGGCAGCCGAACCGGTGGGGTTAGGGTTGGCAGGCCAGGTTGAACCAGTCAATCCCCCAAAATTGGGAACCTAACCGGCCTGCCTTTGTTGGCGGGCGGGTCAGAACCGACCCGCGGGTCGGGGTTACTTCTCTTAATTAGAATATAGATCCCATGCGGTGAGGAGAATCCAGTAATTTCTGGAACACAGAAAGCCGGGAGAAGGCTCTCTTCACATGCCCCGCTGCACCCATTTCAAATTCAAAAATTCATTTCCCCCTCAAATCTCGACAAAAGATTTGCAAGAATTACAGAACTCAACACAAACCCCGCTCTCTCAATTGTTGAATCGATTACAGCCAATGGAGGGTGATGAACCGCCGTCTCCGTCATATATCCACTGCCGCGGCGTCTTCTTTGTTCTCAAAGACATATCCAATTTCAAAACCCCAAAACGCCTCCACAACCCCAATTTCCACTCTCCATGCCCACAACATTTCTTCACCGCCTCCAAACAAACCCCTAAATCCTACGCTTCGTTCATGTATCGTCGTGGGCTCTCCAAGTCAAACGCCAAGACTGTCGCTGCTCGGAGACTCAAGTCTCTGGAGTTGGAACAAACAAAATCCGCCTACAAGTCAAAGCTCAAAAAGGAACAGTCACTCAAGTCGCTCTCCAAATCCCTCACCGTATGGCTTAATTTTCTTATTCAAAGCCCTAAATTATGTGGCTGTGATAGAATTGGGACCTACTTGGTGGTGACCAAGGGGAAGAGGGAAGGAGGAGACGTCATGACGTGGCGGAGCCCCAAACGGCATAGGGACATGTGGTGGAAAGGGGAAAATGATAATGTTGATGTGGATGTTGATTTGGCGGAGTCGAAGTCATTCATGTTGAAAAATTCGTTAAAGGATGTGTGTAGTTTCGATGATTTGAAACAAAGAATGAGCGTTTACTTGAGTGTGGGCGGTTGCAAAGAGGTTTTCCGTGTCATGACTCTTGTGATTAAGGTTTGCTCTCTAAATTCGCCCTAATCATTTAACTATTGAAACATATCTTTATAAGGAGGAAAATTAACACTAGTTAATTATACATGATGGTCATATGTTGTGAATGATTTGATAATTAAAGAAGTTTACTGTGTTTTAGTTGGCTTTATGCGTACACGATTGGAATTTTAGGTTATAGTTGTGATTGGTTTGATTTGTTTTTACTAGTATTGGCAATGATTTGTTTTGTTTGATTGATCAGAATATTGACGATGGGCGATTAAATATGAAGTCACATTGTCCCATTGTAACTGATTTTGGAATGAAGGAAAAAGCCACTAGGGTTCTTATGAGTTATAACCCGATTTGGCTTCGAATTGGATTGTACATTATTTTTGGTGGTGATTCCTTGTTGTCAAATGAAGATGTTAATTCTGAACAAGAAACGGCATTCTTGAAAATGATAATTGAGAAGCAATTTTTCTCACATGCTGGGCTCGCAAAAGCTTATGCTTATAACAAAAAGGTGGAGGGTTTATACAGACCAGGTTATTATGAAACTTTGGGGACTGTTATATTGAAGAGATTTTTGCTGCTTGTTCTCATACTTGATAGAGCTAAATTTCAAGGCATTCTTCCACTCAAGTATGGTATTGATGGTATTGATGGGGGTTCTCCTCTTTTGTTCTTAGTGAAATCTAGTATCAAATCAAGCCGCCAAGTGATTGTTGGTAACTATTATTTGCTTTCCTGGTTCAATAATGTGTTGGTTGTTTTCTGATTGTCTTTGTTCCATTAGAGATTGAATTCTCTCATTTTGTTTTGAAATTAGATTTCTTATCTTTGGATGTAATGCACGGAGAAGGTAATCTTCTTGCGCACCTGGTGATTGTAGGATACAAAGTTTCTTACCAACAGGTATGTTTCTTAATCCATGTATCATACTTAATTTCATGTTTGTGTATATTCACTACTTAAAAGGGAATTTTTTTACTATCAATTTACAATTTGCACTGGAGGGTTGAAGCGTTTTTTCACTCATTAGATATAACTCAAACAACTTCCTAAATCAGATTTATCAATTAATTAGCAATTAAATGTGCTTCTTGGTGCAGTCTCCCCTGGTTGAGTATGATTTCAGAGTGAGAGATTTATTTGTAGATCTCCAAGATGGACTGCGGCTTGGTAGAATCATACAACTCTTGCTACAGGACGCCTCAATCCTTACGGTTGGTTATTAAGATATCTTTAGCAGTGAATATACTAATTAGCATCAGGCTGAATATTCTTAGTTAGAGGGCTACTTTGTTTGGCAGAAATTGGTAGTCCCATCTGATACTCGCAAAAAGAATTTAACAAATTGTGGCATTGCTCTGCAATATTTGAGAAAGGCTGGTGTAATGTTATATGATGAAGATCGAACAGCAATTATGGAAGATGATGTTGCTGATGGAGATAAAGAACTTATTCTTTCCTTGCTATGGAACATGTTCGTGCACTTGCAGGTGAACTGGTTTTGTTCCTTTGTTTTAAAATTTGAGAATCATGCATTTGGAACAACCTTGGAATTTTGATGTTTGTCAGTTTCATAGGTACATAATTTACCTTGTTCTTTTATTATATCTGCAGTTACCACTTCTGATAAACAAAAAAGTCTTAGAAGAGGAAATTTGCAAACTTCAGGGAACTAGTGTGGTATGCCTCAAAACTCAACCAGTTTTCTATAATTACCTTCTTTAGATGAAATGCAATTTAAAACATGTTGGCTTTAAATTAAGAAAATTTGGCTGAATCCCAACTTTTGTTTCATATTTTTTTTTTTGTTTTCTCAGGACCAATTGAATAGTATTGGTTCTACTCTGGATATGCTTTTGAATTGGATCCAGGTATTTCTACAGTCTATTTCTCTTTGCTTTCAATGCTACGAGCCACCTAATTAGTTGTAAAATTATGTTTTTAAGTATAAGAAGTATATTCTAATGTAACTCATATGAGCTCTAACAATTTGAATGTCATGCTTTTTTGTCTTCACTTCTTCACCCTCTCCTTCCTTTTCTCCTACATGGGTAGTTAATTAATATAACTTGCTTAATATTCACGTTTGCATGTTACATCATTTTGTAAGGGGGAAACGATATCATACACATATATTCTTTTCTTCTTTTTTTTTTTTTTTTCCATCTGAAAGTGAAAGTTGGGAGGTGTTGCAAAGGGAGAGAATATACCAGGATCAATTGTGTGAATGCTGGGTTGGATTGCTTTCATTTCGAGTCTTTGTTTTGATTGGAAGTTTATAAGTTTGATTTAGACTTTTAGTGTGAAATTTTTTATTCTCACTCGTGTTTTAAATTTCATATGTTGCTTCTTCATATGTCAACTTTATGAAGCTTCCATTAAATGTTTCTGCAGGTGGTTTGCCAAAAGTATGATTATCAGATCGACAATTTTTCTTCATTGGTTGATGGAAAAGCCATATGGTGCTTGCTTGATTTTTACTTCCGGAAGGCAATTAGTTGTTCCTGTTCTTCCAAGGTTGTATTTTCTTTTATTTCCATCTGATTTTGTACCTCCACTGGTCTTCTGTTCATTTTTGTTTCCTTTTCTTATTATTTGATCATGGGTCACAGGACCATCATGAAACAAGAGGTGAAGAATCAATTATGTCAGCCACTGATTACACAGATGCATTTCACAACTTAATATTGTCACAGAAATTGACAACATTATTGGGAAGCTTTCCAGAGGTAGGTCTTCATGGTTCTTATCTTCGTGTTTGGGGTTCTGAGAAACAGTTTATAGTTCAATGGTTAGTGATGTAGGCCAAAGGTTAAGAGACCTTAGTTTAATTTGTCTGATTTCGTGTTTTTAGATGATCATGTAGCTTGAACATTCTTTAATGGTTGAGCTTGTGAAATGCTGTGGCGTGAGTATATTTCAATGGTTTTTTATGCATGTGCACACACACAAACTTTGCGTGTATAGAAATATCGTAACATCACATTTCACATTATGGTTGTAAACTGTCTGCTTACAGGTTCTGCAAATGAGTGAGATACTTGAACATAATGGTGCTTGTAGTGATCGGAGTGTGGTAATTCTGTTGGTGTTCCTCTCATCTCAACTGATTGTCAAGAAGAACATGGTAATGCTTGGAGTATTATGCTGGATTATTACTGAACCACAGCCTCAAAATATATTCTAATGACTGGTTGTTTTCCAGGATCAACTAAACTTTCATAAACTATTGGACTGTAATTGTCAAATTTTGGAGAGGAGACGTTCAAATATTGAATGCTGGACTGTGAATTCTGTAGCATCGTCAGACCTACATGATGAAAAAGATGACAGCAATGAAGGTGCTCATTCTTATTAAGTGGTATTTTTTTAGTAAGTTGTGTATGCTATTCAATCAGATATACTGTTTCTTCTCCATGAAGCATTGTCACCTAAAGTATATAAGTGTATATTACTAAAATGCAGTTTGGGTGGTGAGTTGTATATAGTTGTGTTCCCTCAGTTTAAGTCTGATTCATTTGCACAAATAGCTTGAAAATATCTTCCTGTTTACTGCTTTCTTGTTGGCGGCCTGAATTTAGTTTCAAATTCACTATATGACAAAGAGAGAAAGGAGTAAGAAGATGTGAGAGCAAAATGGTTGGCAAAGAGTAGAAATTAGAAAGAAACTTATTTGCATTATTGTAGGAAATGTTTCCAAAAACAAATAATAATCCTTAGTTTGTAAATTCTGTATCAATATGCTAGTTCTCTATTAAATGACTAGCTAGCAAATTTATAAGCTTCATGACTAGCAGGCGATGACACATTGTAGACGACACAATAAGTTCATCTGTCTGAGTCACCTGCCTTTAACAAGCAAGCCTTTAACATTGTACACTAGAAATTATTGTAATTATACAGAAAAGTTTTCTTTGAAGCATCAGCTAGGTAACAAGGACATTAATGCTCTGGGTCAAATTTTGATTTATTTCTCTTTGATTTACATTATTGATTTCACACAGATGCAGTGAGGAAGTTTAAGGCCCTTCAGGCTTGGTGGCGAGAAATGGCTGAGAAGAATTACAAAAGTGCCTCAAAACCTCTTATCTCTACTTGGCAGAGCTTCTCAACTAGCAATGACAACATTAACCTTGAAAAAGGTAACTGTTTGAACCTTGTTTTGTCTGGTTTTGATTGTAGTTTGTTGTCATGTATCTGAACTGGTTCATCTACTATCTACCTATAACTTGCATTTTAATAGGATCCATCCATTAGTTCATCCTTCATTAGTTAATGTGATTACTGGTTGACTTTGCTAATTACGGAATTTCACTTTTGAATGCATGCCACAACTCTTTCTCAAGGTACTAGAGTAGGCCAAGCTGTAGAAGGTATTGTGAAACAATCCGAGGCGGAGGCAAAAATACGAGGTACTTTATTGCTTAGTCTAATTTTTATGGAAGCTTTAACTTTAAGATTGTTTGGAATATTAGTGCTTTTATTTGGAATCCCTTTGTTAATGCTATAAATTGTAAAATTATGCTCCTTTTTTGTTTTTTGTATTAGAGACCAGTGTTCTTTGCTTTTTTAAAACTATAACAAGATTTAACTCTTTCAATTACTCATTTGTTAGAACAATAATCCAGGGGAAGGCTGATTTGAGGATGAGGAATTAGCATAAGCATAGGAATTCCTTTCTTCTTTCCCATACTAGTCTAGGAAACCCTTTAAGTGTTGCAACAAATGAGGTTTTTCACAATTTATATGAGACCAGATTCCTAATTCTAACAAAATATGATTTTTATTCCAACTGAAGAAAAAAATTTGTAAATCAAATTTTTTACTCTATCCATTGATAGATTAACTGGTAAATAGTTACTAGCCTTGATAAGGCACTTTGATTTATCTACTTGTTTATTCAATTATAAATGGAAATTGGCTTGAGAGTTCTTCTAAGTTGCAGCAATCAGGAGTCTCAGTAGATATGTGATTGGCTATCTTATTTATGGAGCAATTACTCTATTATGCTTACAGGAAATGCTGCTCAAGTCATACAGTCTCATTTCAGGAGGTGGATTCAACGTCGCAGTTTCTTGAAGATGAGGACTGCAGTTTCATTTTTGCAAATTGCTATTCGGGTGTCGTTAGAAGTGAAGTTTAATTCAACACTTCAAGATTTCGATACTGGTAAAGATGACCTTCTTAGTTTTTTGGAATTCTTTTATATGCTGTTGTGCTAATTAATTAAATTATTCACTTGTGTTATCTGTTTGTTTAAATGACAGAAAACGTCAAACACTCTGAGATAGTGAGATATGTAAAGTTCATTGTTGAGAAACATGGTTTTGGCAGGTTAAAGAAATCGGTATTATTCATTCAGCGAGCAACTAGAACTTGGATCAGTCACAAACGTCTGGTAGAGAGCATGCACAATCAGGCTGTATCCTCTCCTTATCTAGTTAGTGGTGCCATGGATGTTCAGACATGTGTTCCCAGCATCCTTGAAATTGAGAAAACTCCGCTTATGTATCAAGAAAAGGGTGACAGGAAATTGGAAACAGAAGCAGCACTTAAAATTCAGTTGGCTTGGAGAAATTTCACATCAAACAAGTCCCTTCACAAGAAGTGTGTTGCTGCAACTAAAGTTCAGAGTCATTTCCGTGGTTGGCAGTTAAGACAAAGATTCTTAGTTCAGAAGCAAGCAACAATAAAAATTCAAAGTCATTTCCGATGCATAACCTGTCAAAGGGCATTTCAGCAAAACAAAGTTGTCATAAGGTCAGCTATCGTCATTCAATCTTGCATACGTGGTTGGATAGCTAGGAGACGAGCCTCGAGACTTTGGTATCTCATTGTTATCATCCAAGTAAGTTTTGCTGATTGGTTTTAAGTGATCTGAAGTTTCGCATTCCACTTCTCACCCTAACAGTATGTTTATGAAAAATATGAGTGCTTTTTGTTTCTGTAATTTTGGTTTCTTGACTGTCCTTTTTTCTTGTTGACATGACTACCATAATTGTTGTTGGAGTATAAGAATTAAAATAATGTAATTTGTTTTCTATTATCTTGCGCTATTTTTNAAATTCACATTATAATGGCAAGACAAGCAATAATATAATATAAAGGAGTAAGAACAAAATGAAGCTTAGCAAGATAAAGATAATTCATAACTATAATAAGAAGAATCAGTTGCGAATTCCCAAATCAACTAGTCTATGTATATGTACACATAAAATTCCAAGCACGTAGGTGAAAAAGAGGAAGCTTACTCGGGCAGGGGCAGGGGCAGGGGCAGGGAGTCAGTGAGTGAAGCATGGGCGATGAAGTGGTGAAGTGAGGGACCATCAGCAAGACTGGATGACTGGGAGAAGTTTCTACAGAGATTGAGACAAGAGCTTCGCTTGAGTTGACGAATCACGAGACGGCTATAGCAACGTGAATTGAAAGAAGGCCGAGGAGTTGAAGAGAGAACTTTGAGGCTGAGACAGCACCGTTTTTGAATTCTGATGCAAAGAAGAGCGCATTGTGGTTGGTTTAGGATCGATGGGAAAGAAGACGCCATTGAAAGGCAGGGACACTGTGTTTCACCGTGTCGAGCAACTGGGAGTTAGATAGGGCTTTGGAGGAGCTAAGCTCAGCCGTTAGTCTGAAACGCACCCGTTTATGAGTTACCTAAAACGCAGCGTTTTATAAAGTTAACCGCAATTTATAGGTGGACCTAAGTGGAACCTTATGAATTATTATGTTGGAGTTGTGAGAAAAAAATTATAAAAAGAGGTAATGGGTTTAACATTTTTCTTTTTATTACAGCCCCTTTCGACTTTACTTTCTTAACATTTTGTCTTCCTTAATTTATTATACTTATACTACTAAGATTATAATATGTTAGCAGCACGAAGAGTTTAACAAGGATAATGGCACACGTCTATTGAAAATACGTATTTTCAATCTTATACATGTTATTTAATCCATGTTTTCCGCCTTTACGGTTGAATTTATTTATTATCATTAAATTTGGCGTATTTTCAATCCCACATGTGTTCTTTAATCTCTATTTCCGTCTTTATGGTCGGATTTACTCTTTATTATTAAATTTTGCCTCTATAGTCGGATTTATTTATTATTGTTAAATTCCGTTTCTATGGTCAGATTTATTTGTTATTGTTAAATTCTGCTTTTATGGTCAGATTTATTTATTATTGTTAAATTCCGCCTCTATAGTCGGATATAATTATTACTGCAAAATTCCGTCTTTATGGTTGGATCTATTTATTATTGTCAAATTCTACCTCTATGGTCGGATCTATTTATTATTGTTAAATACTGCCTTCATGGCTGGATCTATTTATTATTGTTAAATACCGTCTTCATGGCTGGATCTATTTATCATTTTTAAATATCGCCTTCATGACTGAATCTATTTATTATTGTTAAATACTGTCTTCATGAATGAATCTATTTATAATTGTCATTTTATTTACCGATTCTTTACAATTATCTGTAAGCGGTGGATATCCAAGAAGAGTGTTGTAATTGACCATCCACCGCCTTAACATGAGGGGTGAAAAGTAGGGGATTTTAGTGGTGTTCTTTGATAATAACTCCAAAAAGGTGAAGTAAATAATATGGACTAAAGTGAGAGAATTGAGAGCTGTGAGTAATGTTTACTTTCTCAAACTTTTTGGATTCAACTGGAATCATCACAAATGAAAGGGGTGGGAGGTTATTTATAGCCCCCCCTCCCCAACCCCAATTTTCACCACCTCATGTTATGGCCGTGGATGGCCAATTACAACACTCCCCCTTGGACATCCACTGCTTATAGATAATTATAAATAATTGATAAATAAAATGACAATTATAAATAGATATGTCCATGAAGATGGTATTTAGCAATAATAAATAGATCCAGTCATGAAGGCGGTATTTAGCAATAATAAATAGATCTAGCTATGAAGGCAGTATTTAGTAATAATAAATAGATCCAACCATAGAGGCGGAGTTTGACAATAATAAATAGATCCGATCATAAAGGCGAAATTTAGTAGTAATAAGTATATCCGACCATAGAGGCGAAATTTAACAATAATAAATAAATCTGACTATAGAAGTTGAATTTAACAATAATAAATAAATTCGACCATGGGACGAAATTTAATAAAAATGAATAAATCTGACTATAAAGGCAAAAATAGAGATTAAAGAACACATATAGGATTGAAAATATGCGGAATTCAATGATAATAAATAAATGCAGCCATAAAGGCGAAAACAAGGATTAAATAACATTTGTAGGGTTGAAAATACGTAGCGCAGGCTTATCGACAAATGTCTCTTCTATTACGAAGACCTCCTGATCGCGAAGCTTATCCAGGAGATGTTTTTCATTTACATTCACGACTTTTGGAACGAGCCGCGAAATTAAGTTCTCAGTTAGGTGAAGGAAGTATGACCATTTTACCAATAGTTGAGACCCAGTCCGGAGATGTTTCGGCTTATATTCCTACTAATGTAATTTCCATTACAGATGGACAAATATTCTTATCTGCGGATCTATTCAATGCAGGAATCAGACCTGCCATTAATGTGGGTATTTCTGTCTCCAGAGTAGGATCCACCGCTCAAATTAAAGATATGAAACAAGTAGCCGGCAAACATCGTTACATTAAGGAAGACAATGCAACATGTATTGTTGAAGTTAGAGGAGGATATATCAAAGGAGACAAAACCAAACAAATTTCACCGCAGTTCTTTTACACTCGCAAACTCCAGCAAAATCAAGAGATTGATGTCAAACAAATACACTCTAGTGATAATCTTGTAGATTTATTCACTAAGGCTTTACGTACATCAACATTTGAAAAGTTAGTATATAATATTATAGTTACTAAATTAATTCTACCATTATGAGGGGAAACATTGACCAAGAAGAGCACCAATTAAGAGAAGTTTTTAGAAAAAAGTTTATTATACTGGACATATGTGTATTGTACTCTTTTTTTCTTAATCAGATTTTGTCACACTAGGTTTTCCTAATAAGGTTTTTAATGAGACAGTATAAAGCACGTCTAATTTCACGTTATAATTGAGTTGTACTTCTTTACTTAAGTTTTTTTTTTTTTTTTTCTACAGGATTTTTCTTCAGTAAGTTTAAATACAATATCCATAAACGGTGGATGTTTAAGAGTGAGTATTGTGTGAATAGGGGGGGAGGTGGCATCGGCTAAACCATTATGAGGGTCTTCTTGACCAAGAAGAGCACCGATTATGAGAAGTTTTTAGAAAAGTTTATTATACTGGACATATATGCACCGTATCATTTTTTCCTTGATCAAGTTTTTTAACATTTTGTGCTCCTTAATCATTATACTTGTACCATTAGGATTATTCAAGAATTTTCTATTACGCAACGCAACCAATCGTGAAGTAGGATTGTAGTCGATCTTTATCCATACCACGTTTTACTAAAAAAGATTCATCGCATAAACCAAAACGCAGCGTTGAAGCTCAAAATCCGTCAAAGTAGAGGGTATTTTGGTAATTGGGAGTGGTACTTAACAGTTTCTATAACCACCATTTCCAAATTCTCTTTGTCATACAAGAAACACGATGATGGAGAAGTGGAGAATTACCCAACGTCTCCTCAGACATTCATCGAAACTGCTCTTTGATCGTCCATTAAACTGTAGTGCTTCTCATATTTCAGCTTTCCGCTTTGCTTCAGGTATCGTCATTTAATATTAGTTACAATTATTTTTATTAATTATCATTTCTGAATTTAGCCTTCGTTACAAACTGTAGTTCACAGAGAAACTTTTGTAGAAACAGGTCTTGGGAGTGCAAGCTCAATAAAGTACAGACGTTTTGGTTCAGCCGCTACTGAAATTCAGCGAAACACATCGTTTTCGACATTGAATGTGGATGATATAAGCTATTTCAAAGAAATATTAGGTGAAAAAAATGTCATTCAGGATAAAGATGTGTTGCTCAATGCGAATACAGATTGGATGAGAAAATACAAAGGGTCTAGTAAGCTCCTGCTCCAACCAAAAACCACTAATGAGGTACAATAAGTTGACTTTTGAGTTTGAGATGATGTTTGCTAATTGCTATTGAGATTTGGTTCAAAATCAAGGGTTTGGATGCATCGTTTTGTCATTTTACTTTCGCAGGTATCTCAGATTCTTAAGTACTGTAATTCCAGGCGCTTGGCTGTTGTTCCCCAGGGTGGAAATACTGGTCTAGTAGGTGGAAGTGTTCCTGTTTTTGACGAGGTTAAGTCTTGTCATGTTACCAATTAGTTTCTTTTCCGGCTGATTTTATTGGTTAGCAAGTGCATTGTTTTTGCCTTAATGGTGGAATTGGTCCAGTTACTTATTATGAAATATTTGGCTCTATATCATGGTTGACAATGCACACACCGACTCACATGTATAGATTTGCTTGGGAAGTAATAGACTGGTCTGAACTCAACCTCGGGCTTAACATTCAAGTTCAACGACAGTTAAATTCAATCTGAGCATGCCTAGGTTGCCCAAAAAATCTGGACTGAATAAGATGAGCTCAGGTTAGTCCAACATAATTCAAACATTGATCTATGATAATGTACATATAGATGCTTACTTGAGCATATCAGTATCTAAATGATCTGATGATCCATGCTTTCAAAATAAGACCTTAGATAATTTAGAAATTATAGAAATTTTTTTGTTATAATCTATCGTCTTTGTAATTTCTTCTTCATTTAATTCTTCAGGTGATCATCAATGTTGGTTCAATGAATAACATCATAGCTTTTGACAAGGTATTTATTCTAACCATTATGTTGTAACATTTCCAAATTCCCTTTTTCCTTTCATGAATGCACATGTAATAGACCTTTTTTTCCAATTTTTTTTTTTTTTTTCCTTTTGAGTTTTGGTATTGATTCGTTGAGTGATGTTTTGTTTGAGTTGTACTTGAATTTCTTTTCTGTACTGATTTTTGTTGGCAAGGATTTTATTTTATGTTTATTCAAGTTGCAATAGCATAACTCTGCACTTTGATTGGTAGTAACAATTTTATGCTTTCTTTTAGGTCAGCGGTACACTGGTATGTGAAGCGGGATGCATTTTGGAGAATCTGGTTTCTTTCCTAGATGACCAAGGGTAAATTTATACTCAGTTATACTTCCCCTTTCTCCTACCAGAAAACACAGGAACATTTATCAAAAAGTACACCGAAATTTGATTAATACTGCAAATTTATGATAGAAACTCTGTGTCACTGTAAAAGGACCATGAACATACCTTAATTTGTTGAGAAATGTGATATTGTTTTTCCTGCTTTGTTTCAGTTTTATGTGGCCATTCATCTTTAGTAGAGTTTTGGTCTATATTTGGTAATATATGTTATTGACTATTGTTATATTAATGCTTCCTTCCAGATTTATTATGCCTCTGGACTTAGGTGCAAAAGGAAGCTGCCAAATTGGAGGAAATGTTTCAACTAATGCTGGTGGTTTGCGCCTTGTCCGTTATGGTTCACTACATGGAAGTGTACTTGGTGAGGATCTTTGTCATATATGAAAGATTAATGATTAATGAAGTGGACACTTATTTTTTTCAATTGAACGTACTAACTTAAGTTTTTATTTCTATATATTCTTACATCTCTAAAAAGCAATTGAGTCTCTCTCTCTCTCTCTCTCTCTCTCTCTCTCTCTCTCTTTTTTCTTTCCATAAACTTGTTTATCTTGACTCATATCACAGGTCTTGAAGTTGTTTTAGCGAATGGTGATGTGCTTGACATGCTTGGGACTTTACGTAAAGATAATACTGGGTACGACTTAAAGCATTTATTCATTGGTATGTGCTTACTTTACGTTATATGCTCATTTGTGTCACAAGTATAATTTTCAGTGGGGGTCCAATTTCTTGCATTGTTCTATCCTTGATTTAGGAAGTGAAGGATCATTGGGCATTGTAACCAAAGTTTCCATACTTACCCCTTTGAAGCTATCTTCAGTAAATTTGGCTTTTCTTGCATGCAAAGATTATTTCAGCTGCCAGGTATGATGAGTTTCATTTCCCTTAAAATTTCACACTGTCAGCATATAGTTTTACCAAATGAACCTTCATCAAGTAATAATTTGTGTTATTATTTTTATCATTTTCTTGTTCATATCATTTCTTGAGTTTGTTTGTGAATGGTCTGGTGGTTGTACTTTATGTTTAATTTGATGTGTTCAAAATTTTACATGTGTTTGATTTCTATGCTGCTTTACATTTGATGCTTTTGTATTGCTTACTTCATGCATTACACCCCAATCTGTTTCTTAACCCTTTGTTTATAAAGTATAAAATTGCACATTTTTTACTTTGATTTATCTTATATTGGGGGATAAATGTTTTTATTAATATCAAACTAGAGATTTGTCTCTATGACTGCCTTTTTAGTTTTTGCTCCCTTCATTTCTCAGAAGAGTTGTCAATATTGACTCCTTACCTTNTATTTCTTTGAACCGAACCAATCAAAACAAAAACCCATCTATTCTCACAAGACAATACAATAAATCATACTTAATTTCATACAATATCTTAATTAAATTATATATCATGATCAATAAATTGAGTTTAATTCGACAACTATAATTGTCAAAACCCCAAAATGGAAATATTGGATGAATTGATCGGAAATTGTGAGATATTGCTCTCTCTTTCCCTTCTAAGAAAAAAACATACTATGGAAAATGGAATTTCCACAATTACTGCCTGGCGAATAGTCAAGTTCATCTAATTAGTTTAAGTTCTACTAAAGTACTAGCAGTCTTCATAATAACATGAATTTGCTTGTTAGACGAGTTTTTTTTTTTTTTTTTTTAATTTGAATATATCCATACTCTATATACTAACAATAACGTATATATTATGCTCGATCTCGATTACTTAATAAAGAGCCAACTTCCGTAGTTGTAAAACAAAAATATTGCTCAGCGTGTATTTGCTTTGTAAAACAGTGATTCAACCATTTTAGCCCTGAAACTCGAGTTTATAAATAGGCTTGGGCCAGCTCTCGTGCAATTATCCATGTTAATTAATAGTGGCCTTGTGCCCTTGTTAGGGAAGACAGAAGTGTATAGACAAGAGCAAACGACATGTTCCCACCCAAGGTTAAGCGAATTTCAAAGTTCCCACCCCTGGTTTCATAATTTACAAATTCCCACCCTTAAATTAACAGAAAATTATTTAATGGAATGACCAAAGGTTAAAATGGTAATTGAACTCACCCCTCTCCCCCTCGTTTCTCTTCCATGTCCGATTACCCACCCAACGTCACCATACCACTCCTGCCTCTTCTTTTTCTTTTACCCATTCTTCTTCTTCTTCTCCTCTTTTCCTCCTCTCTTTCTTCTTCTCTTCCTCCTACTTACTTTTTCCTTCCCCCTTATTCCCTCTCAGAATGGGCTCTGAGGCGGCTGGATTTGGCCGCCGTAAGGCCATCAATCTGGCCACAGCGTGATGCCCTTACGGCAGCCAAATCCAACAGCCTAAAAGCCACAAAAAGACAACCCATCCAATCTGGGTTTGTAGGTAAGTTTGTGGTGGAGACACCTCAATCCAAACTTCTCAATCTTCTCAAAGGCATCAATGGCTTCTTTAACCCCCATAGCTCTTGCATATCTCCTCGAAATTAAAGCAAAAGTTTCTTTTATTGAACAACCTTTTACGCTTCATTTCGCTCACTAATTCCCATATAATTTTGAATTGTTTAATCTTTCCAAGAATTCAATCAAAGCATCTAGGCATCATGTTTAAACCCTTTTTGCTTCTCAGTCCACCTAAAGAATGACAACGCCAGCACACCCGCATTGCTCAGCTTCTTAAAAACCTCAAGAACAAGCGTTGGAGACACCTTAATTGAAGCGTTATTTAGAAACGAATCTCTATTAGAAGTGTTGTCTGCTACTATTTTATAGATTCTTTTAGATTCCTCAGTGATTTTATGGCTTAAAGTCTATGTTTTGGCATTTGGGTGTTGTTGCATGGCGTGAATAAACTTGTGGATTTGGTCCGAAACGCCACGGTTTGATTTGTAGAAGGTGAGATGAGTGATTTGTTGGTAGTTTGTGGTGGTTGTTTAGTGGCGGTAGGGCTGACTTTGGGGTTTAGAGGGATTGCGATCGTCGTGGTGGTGACTTTGGGGTTTCAGTCATGATGGTGGTGGCTGGGGGGTGATAGTGATGGTGGCGGTGGCGGTGGCAGTGAAATCAAAAGTCAGGGGTAGTATGGTAATAGCACAATTTGTAGTTGTGTCAGCCGTGAGAATTCATTAACATTGATAACTTAAGGGTGAAAATCTGGAATTTATGGAACTGGGGCGAGAACCTTTAATATCGCTTAACCTTGGGTGGGAACATGTGATTTACTCTATAGACAAATTTTAATCATAAATATGAAAATTCTTCTTAATTTTCATAAGATCATATTTTTTAATTCGGTTTTTTTTTTTTAGCACTAATGCCTTAAAAATAAAAAAATTTCGATTAAAATATTATCTTTTTTGTATTTATTGGTATGATAAACAAGATAAGGCAGATTTAAAAAAAATTAAATCACCACTTCTATAGGAAGGCAAAGATATATAACGTATATCGTGTTTGCTCCTCCCTAGCTAACATTGTTGATAATCTTCCCTTGAGCACCCTAGTTTAATTACCAGTTGGGAAGAAAAAAAAAAGATTACAGGAATTAAAATATTGACTGATTCATCACACAAATTGGCATAGTCATATGAGTCTATTAATTTCTTAAATATATTTTCTTGACCTATTCATTGAGAAAACAAAGAGAAGATTATATTTTATGAAACAAATTGTTTCTGTATTGGAAATGTTTTACATGAGATTTGATTTGATGAAGCAGTTTAGGACACAGATAGATATCCTCTCAAACATTTTTTTTTCATTTATTTATATAATACAATGGAAGTAGTTATTATAAATTTCAGAGGTTCATGCACCACTTATTTAAGAACATTCATAAATTAATATATCGTGCTTTAGTTCTGAGGCTTGGTTTCTGTATTTCCATCAACGGCTTGGCCAGTGTAAGAGCAGCATCTTCTGCAACTTCCTCAGTAAAAACCATTATCACAGCAGCCATAGCTGCAATATGATAAAAGCTTGAAAACACATATTTTGTTAGTGATTCAATTAGATTATTTGTGGAAAAAAGTGTTTAATTTGTGAAATTTAATTTAATTATTTCATAAATGTCTTTTATGGGATCACAGGTACGTTTCGAGTGTTTTCAGGTTCTTAAAGATGATATTCAGATGAAGGTTATATCGACGATGGAATGTGGGATGACAAGAATCAAATGGTTCGTGATTTGGAGTTGAAACGAAGAAGTTGGGGCGATTTGAAGTTAAAGTGAAAATCCTGAAAAATGCTCCAGTTTTGAACATGCGACAGTAATTCAACAATAACTTGAGCTATAGATTTTGGATTGAGATGATTCTTAACCGTTGGAAAGCTGCTTTAAAGGGCTACAATTCATATGTTTACCACTTGGCAAGATTCGAACGTTATCATACTCAAAAACCACTATCTTGTCAAGATTTCGAATTCTGGGGCAGAATCAACTATGCCGCTATGAATCTGGATTTTTTTAGATCAAATTTATGACGTGTATTTCCTGTTTTAAGAGTTCTAAAGTGATTAGGATAGTGGGAATCATAACCCTAAAGCCCTAGGAGTATAAATATATGTCTTTAGCTGATTTTTAGGGAGAGGAAAAAGGGAGAAAAGTTCAGCTGCTCTTTGGAGATTGGAAATTCTTGCAGTTTTGAGTCATCAATTAGAGAAGTTTTTATACTCTTTCTTATACTCATGTTTATGAATATAATGGTTTTTATTATTGAAAGTATGAACTAATTTTATTTTCTAGGGCTAAGATGTAGCCCAATTTTATGAATATGCATTGAATTATTTGTTGCTAATTTTTATTAAGTTTTGTTTTAAGTTTTATAATTGCGCTTAAAACTTTCAATTCTTAAGGGCCCTAGAGTTGAATGATTTTATGGGTTAGGTTGAGATTGAGAGATGAAACCTAATTAGTCTAAGGTAATAAAACCATAGATTGAGCGAACGCTAGAGATAAGTTACCGCGATCTATGAGGCTCTGGTAAATTCCATAGAACTTAATGATCTCCAATTACTTAAATCTGATTAGAGATAATTCAGGTTAGTAATTAGGAGTTAATTTATTAATTGTTCGAGAGAAAGTTAGCAAAATATTAGGGAGTTTAGTTTTTAGAATAAGCTTAATTGGGTTAATGATAATTGTCAATGCATAGGATTAAATTGGTGTGAAATCTATGCCCTAGGTTTAGTCATATTGATTTCCTACTAAAGTGTTAATAAAAGTTTGTTTTTATTTTGTTTCTAAGTTGTTTTATTTTTCATTAAATCATTCTGAAAATCTAATTAATCAAATAGCAATAAGATAGGTTAGTGTGGAACTTGGTATTAGTAATTCCCTTGGGTTCGACATCCATATTCTTACACTTTATTACTTGCACGATTTCGTACACTTGCGAAAATCAACAACAAGTTTTTGGCACCGTTGCCGGTAAATTATATTTTTTCAATATCATTATGAACTATTTAGTTGCTAGTTTGATTTGTTTTATCTTTGTTTTGAATTTAATTTAATTTTATTATTAGTTCTGTTTCGCTTATTTTTTCGTGTGTTTTTTATTTAGATCCTGGAGAGCTTACGTTCAAGAGGTGGTGGTGATCTTAATCCAATAGATTTTGAGATCGAGAGAACCGCTAAACAGTTGAGGAAAGAAAAGAGGCAAGCTGAATCTGAAAAATCAATGGCTAACACAGGAATTGTCAATCCTAATATGGGAAATCAAGAGAATGAGAATGAGGATACCTTAGGAGGAAATGCAATGGGTGGAGAAGCAGTGGTTCAGAGAGCATTGAAGGACTACTCTAGTCCTACTATTAATGGGTGCTATTTTAGCATCAGAAGACCACCCGTTCAAGTGA